CCGTGGTTTCCCACTTTATCCTAAAAGCCATCACCCCGCTAAATCTTTGACTCATTTCATCTCATGTATTCTTTGGGTGTTGCATTTCGGAGTTATGGAGTGTGACATCACACCACGATGACAAAACAAGTAACCAGCACACACCTGTTGTTTATGCACACTCTATTCTGAAGGCGCTGCTGGCGATAATATTTTATTCCGCTGCAGGCTGTCGATCAGGTGGCCAGCAGAGGTGACCTCATGACCATGCCACAGTTTTATTTGGATCACACACAGGTGCTCTGCCCTGAGGTTGAAAGGATACTTGCTCCTCAAGGCAAAGACAGGTTAGTACTTCATAACAACGAGGGAGATTTTCCACTGCAATCAAAAACTGGAGACGTTTGCATGACGAAGCGAGTAGGGACAGAATGGTATGAGCAGCAGTGGCGATGGTCACTTATTGAATACTTCCCACGTGTCAGGTGAGCCAGAGGCTTACAGATGACACGCTGGAGTTGTTCTAGAATATGTGAGAAGACAGGTTCGTTTGGCCACCTACCCATTAACAGGCCATTCAGGGTACAAGAAAGTCTGCCTTCTTAAAAAAATAAAATAAAAATCATGAAGCCGGATGAGTTCTGTGGCTTCAGGACTCCGGCGCATGCTGACCTCACTTGGGTCAGAGCAGAAGCATACCGCAGCGGGTTTTCATACCGCAGCCGGTTTGCAGTGGCTAAGTTTTCGAAAGCAGAGTTTCTTTTGAGGCGCTCCGGGTAAATGCAAACCTCCAGCATTTTTGTGTGTGCAGCTTAGCATGTGGCAGTGGGCCCCCTCCAGGGGTACTGTTTTTGAATCTCAAACTCTCCATAAAAATGGGATTTTCAGCACCGGAAGCCAGTAACACAAAACTGCACTATCGTATCACAGAACCGGCTCAAGATAGGGGACCCGGGGTGGAGAGCTCCTTTGTTTAAGAGCGACCTTTTCAGGAGATCAGACCTCATGCCCACGGTAAACAAACCCTGGCTAGTCCCTCTTCACTGTTCATGATAACCACATAGCACCCATTGCTGTTGCTGGGCGCCCTGGTGTGGTTTGGCCCTCAGGGACCCTATGTACAATTGAGGGAAATGGGCCCCCCCAAATCGGGGTGAGGCTTGGACCCGTGGTTGCAAACACTGCGTTTCACTGGGGAGCTTTGCTCACTCTTTGCCTTGCCAACCATCGCATGCCCTTCTCCAGGGACTGGTCTTGCCAGATACCACCTCAAAATCTCACCATGCTCACTTTTAAGGAGTAGCCTGGTTTTACTTCTTCTAAGAGATAGATATATACAGTGAACCCTCGTTTATCGCGGTTAATCGGTTCTAGACCCTACCATGATAAATGAAACTCCGCGAAGGAGGATTCCTTATTTGTAAATCAAATATTTCGTAGTTAGAGCATAGAGGACATGAAAAAACACCCTTTAGTCACCATTACACTCGTATTACCCAATTTATTAAACGAAAAAGGGAAAATACAGTAAAACATTTTAGATGTTACAATTATCATTTATTATTTATTATATTATTTATGGCATCTAGTTTACAGTATTACATATTTCACATACAGTATTATTATACATAGCTCTTACAAATACTGTAATCAATAGCCTATGAAATGACTTAAGGGATGTACTCTACAGGTGGGTCGCTGTCTTTTTCCTCTGAAGGAGCGGGTGTAGGCAGTGGGTGCTGTTACACAAAAACCGCGATAGAGTGAAGCCGCGGAAGTCGAAGCGCGAAGTGGCGAGGGTTCACTGTATTTTCATTCTTCTGACAGTCCCTGGCATATTCAATATTCGTCACCAACACCATAATTCAAAGGCATCCATTCATCATTGGTTACCCTTATTTCTTGTCTAGCTGTTGCACCCGAATGAGGTAAAGGAACGTCCCATGGCCTGGGCCCAGTGCACCTCAGTCTTCAACGGGCTTGTCAGCACCGGAGAGAGATCTTTGGCAGCACATGTGCCATTGCAGTATGCCATCCTAGGACCTGGCCGCTTCTTCCGTGGACAGTGATTGCAGATACAAGTAAACTCTCCTGCCGACACCTTCGGCCTTCGTTTATGGTGATGTTGCTGATTCGTCCGGTTGTGAATCATCAACATCAACACTCTCTTGATGCTGACGTTCTAATCCACACTGAGGGCTTTGATCTCCGTTCACAAGTGGTTCAAGTGGCCTCTGCTATCAGCCGGCAAGGCTGTGCTGTTTGACATCACAGGTTGTGCCAGGGTCTTTGAAAAATCCAGATGATTTTAAAACCAGGCCCCCAATACTTTATATGATCTGGTTTAATTTTCTGCTCAGAGAACCATAGGAACACATACACGTGTGGCGTGGTAAGCAGTAAAATCCTGAGAAATTTTCTACAAGTTTGATGGTTCTACACAAGGCATTTTGTCTGGCATCCTTGCCTACAGTCCGGGTAACATCAGTAGTGCCTCCCTTAAACACTGCAGTGGCCCAACTTATGCCCCAGTTGCCTTTGTTCCAGGTGTAGTATCATCCCTATTCTGAACCATTGGCTTTTCAGAATACATGAATGGAAAGACAGGGCTTCAAGCACATTTTAGATACAGCAGATAAAGACAGAGGAGTTCAAATGACCAAGAAAGTAAGTTTCTTTTGGAAACTCAGGGCAGACTTCAGTTTAATGCAACCAGTGTAGGTGGTACCATGCACAATGCTACAAGTCAAGAGTTGCAACCAAAGAGAAGAGCCATGGCAGTGCAGTGGTTAAATGCTTAGATGCGAACTGAAAGGTCAGCAGTTCAAACGCACCACGCTGCTTTATGGTAGAAAGATACAGCAAGCAGTCTGCTTCCATCAGGATTTACAACTTCGGAAACCCTCTGAGGCAGTGCTACTCTCTCGCACAGCGTTGCCCCAGGATTTGGAATGCACAGGATGACAACAGGCATAGTTCTTGCTTTCTGAGACCAGGCACTCACAGAGAGCTGACAGAAACAGCAAGGCGGGACTGCATGCTATGCATGGGTGTAGTCTCACAGGTGTGGTCTTCTGACGGGACAGGAAGTAGATTCATAGTCATGCAAAAATAATTGCAACTGAAAGGGCTAAAATGTCTGAGCACTCAGTGTGCTGTCAGGTCTGCCCAAGACCTCCTCATGTGTTACGTCTTTACAACTGTGCTACATCTTTACAACTGTCCTATGAAGTGGATATGATTATTTCCCCAACTTGACAGGTGAGGCAATGAGGTAAAATCAGATAACTTGTTCAGGGCAAAAACCTAGGAAGCCACTCCCAATAATCCCACTCTTCCTGCCAGAAATAACCAATTTTTTATATCTTATAAGGATCCTTCTAGAATACTTTTTAGATATTCCACTTACAAATACACTAACACTCTTCTTATTAAATTAAATAATAGCAGAATGCAATGTGTATTGTTTGCCAACCTGCTCTTTTTGCATACTAAGAGTATTTAGGAAGTGTTTTCACATTGACACATTCAGTTCAATGTTACTTGTCGAGCTACTAGTTTTCTTACTTCATATTGCTTCACACGTGGAAAAAGCATTCTAAACTTGATCTTTTTTACACGGTTTTACACTGTTTCCAGTTCTTTATTCTTATGTACTATGCCGAAGTACATGTCCTCATACATGCAGATGCACGTGTGTGCAAGCAAAGTTATTGGAGTGAGATCAAGAACTGGCATTTCTGGGGCTGCTAGCATATACACCTAAATTTTTTGTTATAAATAGTCAAACAGCTGTCCAAAAAGTAAAGAAAGAAATGGTAGCAATTGATAGTAGAAAACATTCACTATTACACACTCCAAATGCTGATGGTCAATCTTTTAAATTTTTGTCCATGACAGATATTATCTGATTGTTTTTTAGTCACTTCCATAATTACTGAAGTGTTTGGCTACTTACTGGATATTGACCATTTATTTCTTCTGTGCTTTGCTTCCCCATTTTTTATTACTTTTTTTATTGAGTTATTTGTCCTCATTGATTTGTAGAGGTTCTTTACTACAGTATAGATAAAAATATTGTTTTGTTTCTTTTCGTCCTTTCTTTTTGTCTCTCAATTTTACCCATAGTGTCTTTTATAATAAGATATTTGTTTTTGTTTTGCATTTAAATCGGTCCATTGTTTTCTTAATGGCATCTAGGCTTTGTGTCTTATTTTAGAATAGCTTACACACCAAAAGATGATTAAACCATTCTAACATGCTTTCATATTTAATACTCAAGTCTGACATTAATCTATTTCTGCTTTTAATGAAAGTTAGTTATAATGTTGTTTAACTAAAATGTATTTTCTAATGGCCATTGTTTTCTCTATTCATTGAAAAGTAACCCCTAGATCAGAAGCAAAACTCCTCCTTACACATTGTTTCTGAACATGCCATTTGATTTCCTTGATCCATTTGTCTACTTTTGAGCTCATATCACGCTGCTCTTTTCCTTGTAGCTTTACAATTTGTTTTGAAAATGCGAAGGCAAGTGCCGCTTCCTGCTTTTATTTTCAAATATTTTTCTTCTAGACCTTGTCCAAATCCATAATGGCTCCAGTTTCATTTGCTTGCATTCTGGGAAAGAACTGTGTGGCCTTTAATTCACTGATTCTTTCCTCCACCAGCCCTGAGCCCCTCCACAGTGTGTTCTCTCAGGTCCGTGAGCTTCTTCTACATATGATGCGCATAGAAGCCTTGGTGGCGTAGCGGTTGTAGAATGTCAGCAACTCAAATCCACCAGACGGGGCTTTCTACCGTAGAGTTACCGTCTCTGGAAATCGCAGCCGCACTTCTGCTCTGCTCTGTTGGGTCACTTTGACCTGGCACCGACTCGATGGCAGTGAGTTTGTGTTTTGGTTTCAGGATTTGTATAGCTCTTACATGTTTGAAACTGTCTGTTGCTGCTAGTATTTTTTTTTCAAGTCTAATTAACTCATCATGGAAGAGAACCTAGATTCAGCAGGGGTGCATCAGAGGGCTGTGTCTTGCATGGCTTGTCTCCTCAGTCATTGTCCACGGGACTATAGAAGCTGTAGGAATATGCAGCCACAGGCTCCAGGCCCGGCTTCATCTCCGACGCTGTGGAAAAGGACTGTCTGTCCCGGGCCCTGAGCCCTGTGCTCCTCTATGCCACCTGGACAGCGCCCGGGGAGAGTGGCCTCCGGGGAGTCCCCACATCAGGGTGCTGCTAGTCTTAATGCGGTTTCCTCTTTACATTTTGTAACAAATCCTTGCGGGTGTGCAGAAATGATATAGTTCTGCTTTTGAGTTTTATGTCACACATTAGAGAATTTATTTATGGTTTCAATATGTTTGTTTTGAAATCCATCATAAAACACAACAGGCATCTCATACGGTCCTCACTCAAGTATTACCCTTGGCCAAACCTAAACTCACTCTCCTTGCTCTGGGGTGAGCTCTGCCGCAGGGGCTCCTGCGTCTGTCTGTTCGGAGCTGGTCTTCACACTGGCACCCCACCCCCAGCCTGCTGAGGAGCCCCACCTCCACCCCACACAGACTGAGTCCGAACCCACAAGTTCATCAGATCCCCACAGGACACACCCGTAGATTCGGATGCAGTACAGGTGGGGTGGGGAAGCTCCCAGCAGGGAGGCACACCAGAATGGACCAGTTTGAAACCCTGGAGCAGAGGAGAAGTGCTCCATTGGATCCTTTACTTTTTAAATTTATTTTTTGGGGGGGCTCTTACAGCTCTTATCACAATCCATACAGACATCCATTGTGTCAAACACATCTGTACAGATGTGGCCATCATCTTTTTCAAAACATTTTCTTTCTACTTGAGCCCCTGGCATCAGCTCCTCATGAGGATGTATTTATTTTTTTAACTGTAAGTAAACAGCAAGAGCAACATTTTCTTGTGATTTGAAGGAAATTTACAAGGGCAACAGTTTTCCATTTCAGGGTTCGTACTCGTTTGGTTCCGCGATATTGATCGCTGTCACCTAGTGGACCAGCCTCCTCCCTCTTTCTGGCCATGCCTGCCTCTGAGCCTTATCCCGCAGGGCCACACGCTGCCCTCCCTGGCCCTGTGTGGTTGATTGCTCTAAGCCAGCGGTTCTCAACCTGTGGGTCGCGGTCCCTTTGGGGATGGAACGACCCTTTCACAGGGATTGCTTAAGACCAATGGAAAACACATTTCGGATGGTCTTAGGAACTGAGACACCACTCCTTTATCCATCTCCAGGCGGGTCCGCCCACATGCAGCTACGCCCACAGACAACTATCCTAGGGCGTGAAGACCGTTACCCAAGCTACACCATGCTTCAAGGCAACATTTCATTGATTTGTCATTAGCTGTAAATTTTCACAATCTATAATGACATATTGTTTTTGTGATGAATCACTATGCTTTCATCATGTTCAGTTTGTAACCATGAAAAGACATCCTGCATCTCAGATATTTACATGACCATTCATAACAATAACAGGAGGACAGTGATGAAGAAGCAGCGAAAATAATCTGGTGGTTGGGGGGTCACCAGACCATGAGGAACTGTATGAAAGGGCCACGGCATGAGGAAGGTTGAGAACCACGGCTCTAAGTGGTGACTATTCTTGGACGTCATTCCGCTGCAAGGTGAGCCATGGGCGTGAGGTCAGTTCCAGGTCTGAGGAGGAAGGAAGGGCCGCGGCCTAGGGCTTCCCACCAGTCTGTCAGACTAGTGAGCCTGCTGTGGTTTTTTTGGTTGTTGTTATTTTGAATTTTGTGTTTTCTTCCATGGGTTCCTCCCACTCTATCTAAGACCCTCTGTTGTGAGCTCTTTCAGAGAGGTCAGCGGCAATAGTCGCAGGGCGCCATCTACTTCTCCCTGGTTGAGGCTGTGGTTCACGTGGTCCATGGGCCTTTGATGCGCTTTACACTCCTTAACTCCGGATGGGGAGAGGCCAATGGTTGCACCTTAAATGACCACTCACAAACTTTCAGACCCCACTCTCCAGTCATCAAAGGGGGATGTAGAACACCATCTTTGTGGACTATGGATGCCAACTGAACTTGATGTCCCTCCCCTGTGGCCATGGTCCCAGGCCCCCAGACCCAGTAACTCTCTCCCTCCTGCTGTTTGGAATGCTTAACAGGCTTACATACTTTCGCTCCCTGTTTGTTCCAGTATAACCTGGCTATGTTTACATCACATACAGATAAGAGATGTTCAGATATCATCTGTCACAGCTACATGGTTGTGAGGGTAGCCCCTTTTTTCAAGCTCATACCTGTTCATCTTGCCTATCTATCCACTTGCAGATTAATGTTGTTATCACTGATCACGCAGATTGCGTATGCAATAGTGTGTACCTTTATTCTCTCTGACTCCTGGTACCTCTCTGTGGTTTCTTTTCCTTTCATGCTGTTATGCTGAGCGCCCCTTACATATATTATCTTTCCCTTCACCCAAATTAATACATGCTGCTATCTAGCTAGAGATTTTCCTTTGCCTTCCCTCCCATCCCTGCTAACTACTATTATTATTTTTTCTTTTTATAACATGGCCTCATACAATACTTGCCTTTTTGTGACTGACTTATTTCACTGAGCATACATTCTCCAGTTTCATCATCGTTATGAAGTGTTTCATGGATTCTTCCTTATTCTTCAGCGTTGCATAGTAGACAGTGTTGTATGTAAGTACCATATTTGTTCTTTCACTCATCCACTGATGGGCACTTTAGTTCTTGCCATCTCTTGGTTATTATGAACAATGCTCTTACAAAGGTGGGTGTACATATAGCTGTTTATGGCTTGGCTCGTATTTCTTTAGGACATAGTGGGGGCTTTGAACAGTTGTGAAAAATTTCATTGAAAACATGGAAAATCCCAATAAACTCTTTGAAGCCCCCTGTATACCTAGTAAACATAGAAGTGAGTTGGCTGGCTTTAGTGGTATTTTGATTTCCAATGTTTTAAGGGGGCCCCACACTTTTCTACGGTCGTTGTACCAAAAAGTCAAGGAGAAATTCTAACCTTCAATTCTATTTTCCACAAAATTTTCAAAGCCCTCATATGTACATGTACATACACACACGCATACACATATGGGTACATAGTGTATGCGTGTGTATATGTTATAAGTGTGTGTGAAGAACTGGATTGTCCTTTTGTCCATTTTTAGTGTATGATGAAGGCTGTTGCTTTGGTAGGCCTTGCCACGGCTGCACCTTTGATTGATGGATTTTTCTCTTAACAGAAACTTGTCTTTACATTTCAAAAAAGTTTTAATTTGGGAAGTTTTTCTTATAGTTTTCTGATCTTAGGCGACATTGTTCAGAAATCATAAGAGCTACGTGTCGTTCTTCCTAACAGACTTTAAATCATCTATAGCATTTACAGTGCCGCATACAACTGCGTTGTAAATAGCTACTTAGGTTCCCTGTTAGCCCTTCCTCACAGGGCCAGCTTTGACCACTTAATTGATTCTCCCACTACCATCCTAAATGTTTTCAGTCTATGGTTGACTGAATCTATTGATGTGGAATACGTGGATATGGTAGGTCAATTGTATATTCTCCATTATCTTTAAATGTTTCTATTTTTAGAAACTTCTATTTACTTAAGAGTTGTTATCAAGATAAGATGCTGACTTTTTCCAAGTATATTTTCACTATCCTTGTCTTGGCCATATGATTTTCCTGCAGGAATTCACTGAAGTTCTTATGCAGCACTGTGTTGATATATATACTGTGAACCACCCTGTCATTTCTGGAATGATCTCACTGGTAGTATATTTATTAAGGGAATTTTACAAATCTATTTGCTAATATTTTCCATAGAATCTATGCATAGTAATGATACCTGTCTATAGTTTTCATTTGTGTACTATCTTTACTTAGTTTTGATATCAATGTTATGCTAGTTTCATATCTTATGTTGTCTATAATTTAAATAATGTTGGCATTACATGCTTTAAAATATATATTAGTAAAAGCTCAGTTATATCCTATCTGTCTCTAGGGACTTTTTCATTGGTAAAGCTTTAATCATCATTCCAATCTCCATCATCTTTCTCAATCTTTTCTGTTGCATATGCCATTTTTCTGTTTAAATTTACCTAGACAATCCTATATTTCAATTTTGTTGCTATAGACCTGACAATTACAGTATTTGTTTTCTTACAGTACCTATTTTCTTTTGTATCTGCGGCTGCTTTTCCCCTCTTATTCACATATGATTCAACTTTCCTTCTACATTTTTCTTTTATTGGTCAACTGAAAGATTTAACTACTTTTGATATTTTAAAACAAACCCCTTTAACATATATATATCTGTATACACATATATATGTTTGTGTGCATATATCTATGTGTACACATATGTGGGTGCTACCAGGGATCCTTGTGTGTACACACACACACACACACACACACACACACACACACACGCATCCCTGGTAGCATAAGACTTCAGTATTGGAATTGTGTTAGACAGCGTTGTCTAGAGAAACAAAACCAGAACGCTAATAATTATATATATATTTATACAGATAGATATTTAACCTAAGAAATAAACAGTGAATTAACTTATAAAGCAGTACAAATGGCTCAGTGCAACTCACTCCCGTGAGACAGTTGTGAGACACTGGCAGTCCTTCAAGTCTTGAGGGCCACCGGGTAGTCCTCTGTAGAGCAATTCAGGCTATCCAGGCACAGGCAGCAAACAGCAAAGCAGGTCACCAACACTCAGCTAGATGTCAGGGTCCGACAGTCCCCAGCTCAAGAGATGTAAATTCCAATGGTGTGGTGAAGCAGGTCTTGAAGGAACCTCAAATTACAGCGACACAGTGCACGTGTTAGGTGTCCCACAGGTAGTGTAGCTTGCAAACTGAGGCACAGAACAAGCAAGGCAGCTGCACACTGGTCCGATGTTCAAAGAGCAAGAGATAAGAGAGGAGGGGCTTGCCGAGCCATTTATCTCTCCGCCCTTCAATTAATCCCACATGTTCATTGGCCAGGTTGGCACAATAAACGTTAACTATCTCAGGGATGCTTAGCAAAATCTCAGTAGCTTCAACCCACCAGCTGTTCCATGGGGAAACGCTGGCAATTTGCCCTCATCAAGATTACAGCCTAGGAAACCCTATGTGGCAGTTCTATCCCTCCAGGGTCTTTATGAGCGAGAATTGAATCGATGACACACAACGACATACATAACTACATATATAACT